GACAAGAGACAAAGTACAAGGAAAAATAAACATAAAGACACATACACCCAACAAACCAAAAATGAAAAAGAAAAAGAAAAAAATAAGGAAGTTTCTTGCACTTGTTTGTTGGCTCCTTTTGAATTTTCCAAAGGAAAAGCATAGATTATAAAAGATGAGATTTTTAACCTGTTGTACTAGTAATTCCCTTTTAAATTATTCATAAACAAGAGAAAAAATGTAAAAACACACAACCTTTTTAAAAATTTTTAAATTTTCAATTCTAGTCGCAGAGATATATATGTCGATGGATATTGTTCTTACAAAATAGCGAACAAACAACCAACAAAATGTAATCCGGATAAAATTTTATTCTCTTTTTCGTTTCCTTAATAATTAGATTTAATATTGTTTTGATTATCTTAAACCTCTAGCTGATACGATGGGAAATCTACATAACTTAAGTTGATAAATTGCAGTAAATTTAATCATTTATTCATATTTTAACGTTAATAATACATAAAAATAATATCAATCTCGAGATTGAGCTAATTAATCCTTTATTTATATTTGAACTCTGATATCATGTAAAACTATTTGATACTGTACCATCGATCTCAAAAGCTCAAGCTAATAGATTACGGAGATGGATAGTGCGGAACGAACCTGGAATCAGTGGAGTACTCAAAGAGCTTCCCTTTAGTGGAGAAGACGATCAAAGCAACATCAGCATCACAAAGAACAGAGATCTCATGGGCCTTTTTGAGCAGCCCACCTCTACGCTTTGAGAAGGTGACTTGGCGGCTGATCTTGTTCTCGATTCTCTTCAGCTGAACCCTCCCTCTTCCCATGGCGGAAGTCTCTTCTCTCTGTAAAGGGAAAAAAAGAAAAAAGAAAGAGAAACCCTAAAAAGGGAATAATTTGGAGGAAGAAGATGAAGTGGGTGTGGAGAGAAAACTAATGGAATATTGATGGGTGTGTTTGTGTTTGTGTTTCCATAATTGTTGATGAGGGGAAGTGATTCAGTTGGAGTTTGGGGGCAGGAGAGATTGTTGCTAATGTGGGAAAGAAAGAAAGCTTCAGTTTTTGTTTTTATTTTTAGAGAGAGAGAGAGAGAGGGGTGGGTGTGTTGAGAAGTACAATTGAGTTGTCGAGAGATGGTTGGAGGGAGAAGCTACGAGTAGTTAATGTCTGAAATTTTTTGTCAGCAAAGAGGAAATTTTCATAAGAGGGGAGAGACAGAGAGAGTTTTTTGTTTTTGTTTTTGGGTTGATTTTTGTTGTTTGTTTCATGCGAGAGAGACAGAGAGAGAGTGTTTATTGTTTTTGTTTTTGGGGAATTGGTTTTTGTTGTTTGTTTCATGCGACGGCGCCATGGTTGTCAAAACCCTTCCTTTATCCTACCACACAATTCGAAAGTTCGAGTAATCTTCCGTGGATAAAGTACCTATTATTTCTGTAGATATCGAAGATTCAATTTCCTATCTATCATATTTTGTTGAACTAAATAAATGAAAAACTTTTTTTCTTCTCTCGCTTTCTAATTCTCTATCCTATTTGCTGACAAGTTACGCCACTAATAACCTCACTTAATGTTCGAGGTTTAATTTGAATTCCCATTCCTATCCTTATTTGGACTTAAAATTCTATCTCTCAACCTTACGGTGAGTTTGGAAGTGATGGTACAATTAGTGATTTTGAAAAAAGAGATTTAAGTATAATTAATTTTTCATAATCACCGTCCAAGTGATACCTTAAAAATCAATTAAAGTGGTTTTAAGTTTTCCTAAAATTAATTTTCTAATTTGCCAAACATAATGAATGGATGAAGTGATTTTGACCATACCAAAATCACTCTAAAATGCACCTTTAACCTTATTTCCAATCAAGAATTAAAATATTAATATTATTGATGGAAAATTAATATATTATTTGAAAATTAATATTGAGGGCTTAATTTTATGTTGATAATGATGGATGTTTTTTAAAATTTATAGAATGGAGAAGCTTATAAAAAACTATTTCAATTGATAAACAAGGCTCCGTGTCATAAACAATTTTTTTTTATTTTTTCTTTGTTTTTTAAAAATTAAGCTTACAATCACTACTCCACGTGTATATTCATTTGTATTTGTGATTAATTTTTTTAAAAGCCTTATGAAATCTAAGCCAAACTTTGAAAAGAAAAAAAAAATCTAAAAGCTTGTTTTGTTTTTAAAATTCGGTTAAGAGTTCATATGTGTCTTGAAAAAACGTGAAAAACATGGTAAAGAAATTGTGAGGAAACCTGTATAAATTTTTAAAATAAAAAATAAAAAACGAAATGGTTATCCAACAAACTAAAATATTTTATATTTTGATATGGGTGATTTTTTTTTTTGGTTGATTTTTATTAATGTGTCGTTTTGATGTCAAAAGAACGTATACATGAATGGAGTAGAACTTATAAGTTATTTCGGGTCTTTTTTGACACACGTCTATTTTTCATTAATTATGTTGATGAATAAGTGCTAAATATATAGAAATATAATCTAAAATTTAGAGGTGTGTCTTAAATTTTTTAAATAAAAAGGATTAGTAGGCACAATATTGGAAGTATATAAAAATTAAAGTTTATAATTTTTTTTTTGTTTAAATAAACTAAAGCTTATAATTTAGAGATTGTCTCTTTTATATTAGTTTGTTGTTTTTAAAATAACATTTTTATTGTTTTCTTATCTAATTTCATGAACTTTTTTAAAATTCTATGCCAAATTTTGAGAATTAATTTAGAAAAAAAAAAGTGACTCAAAATCTGTTTTGTTTTTAAATTAAGATCTCAGAAAGTGATTTTATAAAGTAAAAAACTAAACAAAGAAAAAAAATATTATGTTGAAAAGTAACATTTATAAGTTTAATTGTTTTTTTTAATCATTATTAAACAGCCCTTTTGCTTTTGATAACTGAGAAGTTTTCTTTAAGAAATTACATACAAACATAAATATACACATATACACCTACATATAAATGTTAATACTTTTTTTTTCCGCAAATATCACAAACGTCACTTTTTTATTTTCAGGTTAAGATTTTTTTTCTTTGAATTAAAATCAAATTCTGCTATTTATGTAAAATTTTAAACTTCTTGTTGTTATATTTAAAAATACTTACTTTTTTATTTTGCCATGAAATTTTAAATTTTTTTAAGTAGAAATTTGAACCTCCAATGAAAGTTGTTATTGCTTTAACAAATTAATATATGTTCTAGTATTAACTAGTCTTCTAATTAAGTTTTTGAAAATTTTGAAAATTTGAGCTTGCAAAAACACACTACTACAACAAATATTATATTAGTTTTACTATTTTATTATTATTTTTTTTTTTGATTCCGTGACATTTTGATGAAAAATGCTCAAGAAAAACATATTTTTTGAACTTAAAATGTTGAAATAAATGAATAAAAAAGTAGGTATAAATTTTTTAATCTATTCTTACTCAAAATATTTTACCCACAAAAAGTGTCAAGTAGAATGAAATCACGCTGAATGACATCATGCTTTGTAAATACATTTTATTAATGTGTTAAAAGGTTGGAAATTTTCGGCTTGTAAATTTCTGAAATGTAAGTAATGTTTTGGTCAATTAAATTATGACAAGTTTTTAGATATTTGAGAATTATAATTATTTGAAATTTTGGCATTTAAAATGTTTATAAAAATAGTTCTAGTTCTAAAAAGGGGTGGCAGGTTTAACTCTCTTTGCGAACTCTCTCTTTAGAATTTAAAATTTGGTTAATATATTATTAAAATTAAATTTTAAAAACTAGAAAAAAAAATTGCCCATAAATTTGACTAGACGTATCAGTTTTTAACATAAACGTTTAATTTCATCCAATTGACCTTTGTAATTTGTTGACTGCCTTAATCTCTTATTTGCTAAGTTCAGTCAGCTTTAAAAACAAGTCATGTTTTTATCCAGCTCATTTTTGGTATATCCCTATCATGGGTGATGTCAGCACTATTCTCACTATCCGTCCAGCTCAATGGTCTGGATTAGTTGGTTAGAGAGAGAAGACTCTAGAATTTTGTAGATTTCTTCTTCTTCGTTCACGCATTCTTCCTCTCGAAGACCTTCATTAAAAAATAATGATAAAATAAAAAATGTAATCATATTTATTATTTGTTTTTGTTTTTAAATATATTTGTTAGGGAATGGACCTCACCTCTCCATAATTTTTACAGTAAGGTGCGTGCAACGTATGATACTCTCCACTTTTATATGATTTTGTTTTAATTTCACCTAAAAGGCCTCTTATTATTAAAAGAATATAGTTACCTGAACTTATACTCATGATCTTTTTCATTGTCAAACTAATGTGAGACATTTTCTTGTACTCTTAATGATCCTCCTTCCAAACAAAGTATCACATAGCATTCCCTCGAATAGTCATTCCATCTGCCTAGAGCATGATGCCACGAATTACATCGTGGGATATTTGGTGTTAACCACTCCTTGGCACACCCTTGACAATCCTCCCTTTGAATCACACTTGTTCAACATCAAGAATTCATCCACAATTCCTTACATGTCTATGTCTTTAAGGCCAGTCACACTTCTTGGCTCGACGTTATAGGATTTTTTGTTACAACTAAGTTTGAGACAGGACTCTAATACCAATTTGTTAGATAATTTTCAAAATAGTATTATTAAGTTTGTAAAGAGTGCAAACAAAGTCTCACATTAGCTAAGAAATGAACTGATTCCATAGTATATAAGAGAGAACAATTATCTCTATTGGTATGAGGCATTTTGAGTGAAATCAAAAGCAAAGCCGTGAAAGTTTTGCCCAAAATGGACAATATCAAATTATCCCAATTGATAACTATTTTGGACCTAGGGCCTCATCGTTTTGTTTTTAGTTTCACCAAAAATGTCTCACAATATAATATAAAATAGTTTTCTATGTTTATATACTTATGATCTTCTCCCTTATCTAATCAATGTAGGATATTGTTCACATTCCCAACAATATTATTATAATTTAGACTGGAATTTGAATTATTTTCAGTAAATTAGGAGGTCTCTAATATATATATATATATATATATTGTGTATGTTGTTGGGATTATGGAGCCAAAACAGGAAATCATATCCTATGAAGAAAAAGATTTTTCAACACTATTACCAATTCCTACCAGGGTAGAATATTGTTGTCTTATAAGGATTACAATATTATTTTCATATAAGAATTAGGATATTTGGCCTCTTATAAATAGAGCCTTTATGTTAAGGTTTCATTTGTAGAGAATCCAAATAAAAGAGAGGGTGGGCAGTGCTGAAAAAGATTCTGTATCTAGTGGGTTTAGTGAGTGTTTTTCATTCCTATAATAGTGTGTTATAATACTTAGACGATAGAGAGCTTTTGTTGGGACCTGTAGGGGATACTTTTGGGGGGAGTTTTGTATTCTAATCCTTAAACAATTATTAGTAAATTACCCACAGGATAGAAGACTGGACGTAGCCCTTAGTGGTGAACGGCCAGTATAATTTACTGTGTCGTTATTCTGGTGCTTTTACAGTTTTCTTCCTATTTTCATATATTTTGGTTGTGTTTGAATATTTCTGTAGAACGGGAAATTATTCAGGGTCTTCAATTTCCCAACATACATGTGTATATATAAATAAATAAATAAGTAATAGATAAACATAATAAATTGACTTTCCAATAACTTTCTCCAAAATATATATATATATGTATATATATAAATAAGTAATAGATAAACCTAATAAATTGACTTTTTCCAAATAATGATATGTGATTACAATCCTACAATTTGGTATTATATTACATTCAATACTTCGTTAGTTTTTTTTTTCACACTTTGGACTTTGGAGCGGATTTCTCAGTATTGGTGTGTGATCGATCTATGATGCTCGGTAGAATCTTGCATCAACAGTGACATTTTTTTCCTTCATCGAATCTCGAAATTTTTAACGTAGTTTGTGGCAGTGAAAAGCCATCATAAATGTCGGAAAAAGATCTCCATTTTTCCTCTAAAAATGCGTCCATTTGTTGTGGCCTTTTTTTCATTCACTTTTCTTTTACTTAAATCAGACGTCACTAAAATCCAATTTTATTATAGTATGAGAACGAAAAGTGAAATTTAACTAAATTATAAGGACCAAATTGAAAATTTTAGAAACATAAGAATCAAATTGAAATTCTAAAATATAAGGATTGAACTAAATTGAAACTAATACCAAAT